CAGAGGGGACCAGGGGGATGGCTTATTGGGTAAAGAACTTGGTGTACAAACATGAGGACCTCAGTTCTGATCTCCAGAGTCCATGTAAAGCTGGACACACAATAGCATGAGAATCTGTAGTCCTAGTCCTCCTGTGGCAAGATGGGAGGCACAGACAGGAGAATCCCTGGATACTTGCTGACCAGCTAGCCTGGCTTGTGTAGGGGCAAACAGCACTTAAGGTTGTACATTGACTTCTATATGTGTGCTGTAGATACCTGTGCCTGAACACACACACATACACACACACACACACACACACACACATATATACACACACACACACACACACACACACCAAGATAAATCAGGCAGAGGAAGATGAGCACTATTCCTGTGTAACGCACTGGGCAGTAGCAGTATTTATGGAAACTTACTTGCCCTACCTATAAACACAAGCACAGTACAATTGATAAATGTATGTTTTGTTTCTTTTGGTCTTTTTGAGACAGGGTCTTCCTGTGGCCCCAGCTGTCCTGGAACTCACTATGTAGACCAGGCTGGCCTTGAACTCACAGAGATCTGCCTGCCTCTGCCTCCTGAGTGCTGGGATTAAAGGTATGTGCCACCACACCCGGCCCAATAAATGTATGTTTTAATGTAGTATATTACACATAACATGTGACTAGGTATTATCAGCATGTCAGAAGTGGTGTAAGCACTTAAAAATGAGAGTTGCTGTTATTCCTGGTGATGTCAACATGTGGTAATTCCTCACCTATACTTACCCTCCCAAACCATCATTCTCCAGTTTTTGGAGGGAGGGGGATCTCTCACTTTGGTGGTGGCTCCAGGCAGTAGGTTTTCTTCTCTAGATGTACTCTCCCAAGCCCCCTGCGTAAGCATTCTCCATTAGACAGTTGCACTCTGCGGGAGCTGCCTAAACCCTCATAGAACCAAAACTGTGCTTGGAGGGGGCATGGTGGCCAAAATGACACCTGGGCTTCAAAAAGGACCTTATGCTCAGAACTAGAAAACATAATTACTAAAACAGCCCTTCTGACTTTTGGCCCAAATCCCTTCTTTCCACAGAGACTCAGGCACAGGACATGGGGAGGGGCAGTGTGCTTTAATTCCTGTGGCAGAAGGGCACTAGCACCTGGAGATGTTCAGATCTTAGCCCTGAGCCTGTGATTATGTTGCTCTGTATATTGAAAGGGATGGATGTAGCAGGTGTGATTAAGTTAAGGATCTGGGGATGGAAAGATCATCTTGGTTTATCTGGGTGGGCTCAATGTAGTCCTAACGATTCTTGTAAGGGAGGGAGAGAGCTAGACATGCTGCATTGATGGCTTTGAAGGTCAAATCCAGGAGCTAAGATCTGCAGGCAGCCTGTGGGAGCTGAAATACACACACACACACACACACACACACACACACACACACACGTCAAGTGCATTGTCCCCAGAGCTTTCAGAAGGAACAGAGCCCTGCCAATACCTTGATTTTCTTTTTGATACGTTGATTTTTAACCCAGTCACAGCTGTGTTGGACTTCTGACATGCAGAGCTGTACCATAATAAATATGTGCTGTTTTGTGCTACTAAGTTCACAGTACCTGCAGGGATAAGACATCTTCTTAGTGTCCCTATTTCCTCTCCCTAGCTCTCTCCATCTCTCCAGATTTTCATTTAAAGCTCTTTTCTTCTTTTTGTAGCCTAAATCAAGTCTCCAAGTTAATTCACATAATTAGGAGAGCTCACAACAGAAGACCCCTGTAGGTCTTCTTCTGTCTTGCTCTATCATTTGTAGACCTTATACTCCTTGCCCCACTAAAGATGCTTCATGTTAGGGTAATATGGACTTATTGTGCCTCTCACCATCCCACAATGAGTGGCTGTCTGTCACGTAGCCATTCATCCAGTCATCCCCATAATAAAGATTTACTGGAGGCCATTGTGTGCCAGGCACTGAACTAAGATTGGGATGTATGAGACAGAGTGAAAAACTTGTGTCCACACACAGGCTACAGATATTGGATTTGTGTATGTATGTGTATATTTGGACATCTTCCTTTGTATGTGCAGGTACAGGTACATGTATGTGCATGTACGTTGTGTGGGGGCCAGAGGTCAATGTCAGACATCTTCCCCAATCACTCTCCATCTTATTTTTTGAGACAGGGTCTCTCACTGATCCTGGAGCTGATTCAGCTAGACTGCCTGTCCAGCAGTCCCAGGATTCCTCCTGTGTCCGTCTTCCCAGTGCTGGGATTACAGGCATGCACTTTGGGCCTGTATTTTTTTCCTTTTCTTCTTTTTTTTTTTTTTTTTTAATGTGGGTTCTGGCGATCAAACTCAGATCCTCAAACTTGGTATGGCAAGAATTTTACTTATTGAGGCATCTCCCTAGCCCCAGGGGTTGGGTTTTTATGACTGTAGAACACTAAGCACTTATTTTCTGCCAGGTAAATGTTTCAAAATTTGTTTCTTCTTAGGAAATAATTTGAGTACAGGGGGCATCTTTAAGCAGCAAAGGACAGGAGATGCACCCTGGGTCTATCTTGTATTCTACATTGTATTCAGATCCAGGGCAAGAGTTAAAAGAGGAATATCATAGATAAGAAAGAATGAAAAACAGCCCAGCCCAGAGCCTCTTTGCTTAGGAAGAGACTCCCTTCCCTCTGGCCTCTCCAGCCCTGCCTACCTGCCTTTGACGCAGAGAACCAAGGGTCTGAATAAAACCTGTTAGAGGTTCCAATTAAGTCTGTGGACAAAGGGCATACACACACAGCATCCTCAGATAACAGGCTGCAATAAATCCATCAGCACATCCACGGTCAGAGAACAGTCTCTTCTGTCTTGCCAACAGCTGCCAGCTCCTCGCTGAGTGCCTCACATCAAAATGGGCTGTAAGGTAAGATTGTTTTTTTTTTTTCCTTACTGGACAAATTTAATACTTTAATCATTTGTTTCTTGTTAGAGTATTTTGGCTCTAAGTTTACTACTGATTGGTTGGCAGATTCCTTCTCTTGTTTTTGTTTGGGGCTTTATGAGTTTGGGGTTTTATTGTGTTTAGTCTCTCCCAACTCATTTTATTCTAATTAATACCTTTTAGTTTTCACTGTTTTCTTTTTATCTTTTCTTATTTTTGTCCTTATGCATTTTAAGTAAGTTTATATTTGGAAATTTCTTATTATACAGAGAAATGAAGGGTCCTGAATCACTGAATGCAGTTTCTGGTTAAAACTTAGCTGGGATTTGGTTCACTGGAGAACTTGCTCGCTTGAACTACAATGCACAGGATAATCTTCCAGCTCCAGCTCTGGACTTAGATCAAACTAACTTAGTGCCTGGGGATACTTCTAGCATTTGAGGCTGACATTTAATGTCAGCAATAACCACTTACAATTATTTACTGCTTGTATTATGAAACCAATTCATCATAGAATATTTGGAAATGATAGACAAGGGAAAAGACTATAACTAAAGTCATTGATTATAAATAACCAGCATTTGGGTATGCATATTTCCAGTCTTTGAAACGTGTATACTTTTTATACATACTATATTATTTTATATGTACATATTATACATTTTATGATGGTAGACTGCTTCATTTTAAAAATGAAGTGATTGGTATAGTTGATGCTATGACAGAAATATAAATGAAAAATGAAATCATTCCAGAAACTGTGATTCCTTGATGTTAGACAAGGTACTGTGACTTAACGGTAATATGTGATATAGAATCCTAAACAGGAAACTAATGATATAGTATCCCAAATAGGAAGCTCTTGATGACAGTATCTTATTTGCACAGAGCAACATACCTTTCAGAGCAAGGTTCCATAGTTTCAATAAAAGAATAAGAGTTCTTCTAACACTGCTTATCAATAGATAAAAGGTAGACCAGGAACCTGCAGGTTAAGGCACTTGGGATTTTATGCCAGTGTGACATCAATTGTGTGACCCAGGACAAATCTCCTCAGCTCCCGGGTCTCTGATTTTTTAACTGTTTTTGTTCTGGTACTGTGTGTCGGTGGACAGCACGAGTGATGCTTGTGCCACATGAGATTTTTCCTCATGCTATGCAAAACCTCTTACACTATCATTTTTGAATGATATATAAATGTAAAACAATTTTTTTGCACGGTTATAAAGTTTCTTTTATTTGTATTTACTTTTTTTTTTTTAGTCTTTTTGAGACAGGGTCTCCCTATAGCCACAGATATTTATTTTTAAGGCAAGGTCTTGCTATGTAGCTAAGACTAACCTAAAACTCTGTATAGCCCAGCCTGGCCTAAAACCTGTGATTCTTCTATCTCTGCCTCCCAAGTGCTGAGATTACAGGTATGCACTACCATGCCTGACTTGTAACATTGCCTTAAAATTTTTTGTTTGCTTGTTTTTGAGACATGATCTCCCTGTAGCCCTAGCTGACCTGGAACTCGCTATGTAGACAGGCTGGTCTACATCTCACAGAGATCCACTTACTTCTGCTCCCTGAGTGCTGGGATTAAAGGTGTGTACCACCAGCCTGGAGAAGTTGACTTTAACAGTATTTCAACATTTTAAAAGAGTAAATTTAAAAGAAAAGAGGAAGTAATAGCTGAGGTGATGTCTACACCATCCAGGTGAGAAGCTAAGGTCTGACATTTGAGAAACAAGGAATTCAGTCATCGTCGTTCATAGGATGTGTTTAATGTGTTAGGGGTAATTTCAGACATAAATTCCTGGCAAGCAAAACTTTCCTGGAAGATATTCCGGAAAATGTGGAATTGTTGAGATTGCCTAAGAAATGAACAGAACTGCAGGCATGGGAGATTTTCAAACCATTCTGCTCCTTGCAACTCTTCACACTTTGCATTTTAACAGTAGCTTTACTGGACCAGGCAGAATTCCTCCCCTTCTGTGAAGGCTGTTGGAGACCTAACCCTGTAACAGAACCTGCCTAAGCACCTGGAGAAGACTCTGCACTCTTCTACTCATCATCCAGCCCAGCCTCCTGCAGCCCTCACCATGCTCGGGGGGATTCTGGATGCTCCTCCTCAGTTGCTGAAAGGAGGGAGAGAGTCCCGGAAGCTGGTGCTGGTGGTGGTGTTTGTTGCTCTGCTCCTGGACAACATGCTGTTCACTGTGGTGGGTACGTTTGGGGCTCCTTATGCTGAGGGTTTATTTGCTTTGGATCCCAGCAGGCAGTACGATGTTGCTCAATTTCAGCAGTGAGTAGACGAGAATTTTAGTGATGGAAAAGCCAGGGAGGTTGTTGGGGGTTAATGTCAACTATAGGCAGTAGGGTCAGTCATTGCGAATGGCTCAAAAAATTCAGACAAAAGCAGGTTCAGAGGTACCTGGCTAGAAAAGAAATCATAGCTTCAGAATAGCCTCACTTTTCTTCCTCCCTGTCCTGCCTTCCCAAGGTGCTGATGACTCTAGAGGCATCCAGGACAGCGAGCATCTTCCCACTGTGATTCTTTTTCAGTCTCTTCCATGAAAAAAAGGGCACTCAGTTCTTTCTTACAATTTGTCCCCTTACAGTCCTGCATTTTCTGGTTGGTACTCTATTATAATCTTGATGTGACATCAGTGTATTAATAGGTACTAATGTGCTCCTACTGGATGAAATATATGCTTTTAGAAGAGGAAATCTTGCAATGTGTAGGTAATCCAGAAAGTCAGATCTCATTATTTATGATGGTTCAATAGGTATATTCATAATGATTACAAACACTGATTTAGCAATATGGACTCATTGCACAGAGGGAGAAGGATATGTACACCTGCTGCTCCCTGCCACAGAGATTATATCTTAAATCTTAAAATCAATGAATCCTGGTAGATTCTGCCTTTTATTTTTTAAAGGATGTATTTATTTTTATTTTATGTGTATGAGTGTTTTGCCTGCATGTATGTAAGTGCAGCATGTGTGTGCAATGCCCACAGAGACCAGAAGAGGGCATCAGATTCTCTGGAACTGAGGTTACAGACAGTTGCTAGCTGCCATGTGGGTGCTAGGAATCAAATTCATGTCTTCTGCAAGAGCAGTAAGCACTCTTAACCATTGAGTCATCACTCCAGCCCCAGTTCTGTCTTCGTTTCAAAAGAAAAAGAGGCTCAAAAGAATTCAATTACATGTCTAAGTTGGACACCAACAGGTGCTAGAGCTGGAATTTAGGCCCTGCAAACTGGTTCAGAGTAAGACTTCTCACACTACACTGCCTGGCCTCTAGTCTCTCCAGTCCTCTGGTCATCTGGGAGCTGAGCAATGGAGGCAGAGAGTGCCCTGTTCCATTTCAGCTGGAACACGGCCATTGGGTGACTCAATTTTTTTTTTCCAATTTTGCACCTGTCTATGAAAAAGTCATCATAGCTCATAAGCTAGTATTGATTCTCAGGTTATGCCTAAACCTTCACAGGTAGATGAATTATCTAAGAAGGAATCTACAAATCCGTGAAGAACAACATGATGTTTAGAATTTTGATCCTTCAGCTAATAGGCTAATATGGGGTAACATGGTTTTTAGTGAACTTTAAATGATGTCACTTAAATATTATCTTTCAGAGTAAAACTAGACCATATAGCAATGCCTGTTAACCTAGTAGTGGTAGGAAGATGTTCTGTCCTTAACCCTCCTCACATGTATCATTGATTTTCAGTGCCCATTGTGCCCACCTTCCTGTATATGACAGAGTTCAAAGAAGCCATCTCTTCATTGCACAGCAACCTCTCTGTGAGCTCCCAGCATGCCACCACCTCTCCTGCCTTCTCCACAATCTTCTCCTTCTTTGACAATACCACTATGACTGTGGAAGAAAGTGTACCCATCAGTGTAGCATGGGCAAACGGCACCATCCCTCCTCCAGTCACTGAAGCTGATTCAGTACATAGAAACAACTGCCTGCAAGGGACAAAGTTCTTAGAGGAAGAGAACATCCGGGTTGGGGTTCTATTTGCTTCAAAGGCGTTGATGCAACTTTTGGTCAACCCATTTGTAGGACCTCTCACCAACAGGTAATTCAGTGGGACAGTGGTCCATGAACATTCACAGGCTCAGGTATAGCACAATGGGTGTTAAGAAGAGAAAAGAAGGAATGCTCTGGTCCCCAGGGGAGCCATCAATTTGGAAAGCTCATTATCCTCAAAGATGGCAGGGTATTGGTGAAACATCATAAGCTGCCTGTTTCCTTAGTGATGTGGATATTGAATACTGAGATGAGAATTAGTGAGCAGTTGGAAGCTGCTGGGTTTAACTTGAGAAGGATAAAGGAGGGTACAGGACAGTCCAAATGCAGTCTAAAATGCTGGCTTCCTAGAAATCTCATCAAGGATGACACTGGGGTTTTGAGAGGCATACAAACTAATAGGCTGTCTTTTCTAGAAAAGAGTTGGGCATTTGTCTGTGGATAGATTTGCATTTTGTGTTTTTTTTTTTAAAATTTTGTGTGTGCAATCACATATTATCTCCCTTCTCTATGCTGGCATTCAGAGGCATGTTCTACTGTGTTGTCATTTCTGATCCTACTGATATTAGAAAATATCACCAAGCATAAGGATGCCTGATGCAATCATCTCTTTGTTTGCTTGTTTTAGGATTGGATATCACATTCCCATGTTTGCTGGTTTTGTGATCATGTTTCTCTCTACAGTTAGTAAGTAATTCACTTCTCTTCTCTGAACACCTTTAATTTCATCGTGTGAACAAAGTGTAAGACAGCAGGTTGGGTTAACCAGAGAGAAATGAAATGCCTGACCAAGTGAACTGGGACACTCACTTTACAATCTTTGGAATGAGGGACTAGAACAGTAGTTGATAGCAACTTAATCTAATTAGAATCATTCTAGTCTTCTGGAGAACAGATCCTTCATATACTTAGATGAAAATCACAAAAGCTGTTTGAATGTATACATTATGGTGTGTGTGCATGTGTGTGCATACATTTACTTGTGTGTGTCTATGTGCATGTATGTAACTAATCTCTTCAGCAAGCTTGATACAAACCTCTCATCTTTTGGAAGAGACAATATTATTTTTGTTATGCCATGGTAAAAGGCAACTAGCAAAAAAGAAATTGAAATTCAGTAATAGTAACTAGAGAATTCCAAAAAAAGTCTACTGCTTTTCTATTAAGGCCGTTAAAGGTTATAGCTTTGGAAAGTAAATTTGCTAAAGAAATAAAGCAAAGGACAAATATCCCAGTAGCGGCTCAATGTTCTAATAAAATGGAGATTGAATAAAGCAGTAAGAAAAAATAAACTGAATGGTTGACCCTGAGATATAAAGTATGAAGGGATGAAAAAAGGGGGTGTCCAATTTTGGGGGCAGTGCAGGAGAAGGCAGTTGTGGACCCAACATTGGCTTCTGCTGCCTCTGTGGATGCCTTGTTCCAAATCACACAGCTACTGCTCCAATTGAATTTTCTTCTTGGCTTTCTATTTCTTTTGTTTTTTTTAATTAAAAAAATTAAATTTTATTATTTTTTATTTTATGCATATGAGTGTATTGCCTGCACGTGTGGAAGTGAACTCATGTTGTGCCATGCTCACGGAGGTCAAAAGAGGGTATTGGATTCCCTAGAACTGGAGTTACAGATGGTTGTTAGCCACCATGTGGGTGCTGGGAATCGAACCCAGATCCTCTGCAAGAGCAGTCAATGCTCTTAACTGCTGAGCCATCTCTCTAGCCCCTATCTTGTGAGTGTATTGCCTGCACGTGTGGAAGTGAACTCATGTTGTGCCATGCTCACGGAGGTCAAAAGAGGGTATTGGATTCCCTAGAACTGGAGTTACAGATGGTTGTTAGCCACCATGTGGGTGCTGGGAATCGAACCCAGATCCTCTGCAAGAGCAGTCAGTGCTCTTAACTGCTGAGCCATCTCTCTAGCCCCTATCTTAGAATTCTAAAGGTAACTGTGACAAACAGTGGCCCAGATTAAGTAGGAAAATAACCCTGCTCTTCTTTGGTATTATGACCAATCTTTCTGATTTGCCCAAGATTAAGGAGTTTTCTAGAATGTGACTTTCATTTCTAAAATTTAAAAGGTCTCAGGCAATATAAGACAAGTTGGTCCCTCCACTTTCAAAGGACACTGAAATAGTAGACTTTAAACAGATTGGAAATCAGAGAGTCTGAGAAAGGGGGTTGGAGGGCAAAAAGGGGCAGATCAAGGATGTCGTGCTTGGGAGACATTGAGTAGTTTGGTGTGATCATGTTGGGCCGTAACTGAAGATTATAAACACAACCAAAGACACCCATAATGAGAGGGTGGGAGGGTCAAAGCTTGTCTGATTCAGACGCTTTGGGATGGATTCTTCTCTCTCTGGGAGACACTGTTCTAGAATCAGGATTGAGGCATATCTGGGACTACTGACATTACATTACCGACATTACTACCTGTAATTTAGTTTGTGAGAACATAGGCCTGTTTGGTTCTCAGTTTCATCTATGCCAGTCTCTGGTAGATAGGTCTCCTCTAATGGCATGAACTGGATAGTCTGTTTCTTTGTCAAGCTGGCTACAGCACACAGCAGAATAGTGCTCAGTATTATCTAGTAAATCCTAATTTCATTCGGCAAAAATAATCTTTCAACGAGGGAAAGGGGAAGGATCAGAAAGCAGTATAAAATGTCTTCTAGCCAATGTCTATGGTCCTTAATGTGCACACAACTTAGTGTCACTCTAAATGGCTCAGCAATGGCAAAGGACCAGTCTGGTGTAATAAAGGATCCAGGATTCCAGGCCCCAGTTCCAGGTCAGGGTACTGGGCTTCAGAGACATCCTCTATTCCTATGAGTTGTATGTCAGGCCCTCAGCAAGAAATGCAGAGACCCAGTCTTCTTTCCATTGTGTGGTGACTTGGTTTATGCACCTGTGGTTTCTCAGCTTTTCTATCACTTAAAAATCAGTCCTAAGGGCTGGAGACATGCCTCAGTGGTTAAAAGCACTTTCAGAAAACCCAAGTTTAATTCCTAGCACCCACATGGCAGCTAACAACCACCTGTAATTTCAATTCCAAGGAATCTGACACCTTCTTTTGGCCTCCACAGGCATTGTACACACATGGTGCATTTACACGCAGGCAAAATACTCATACACATAAAATATAAAAATAAACAAAAATTTAAAAAATCAGTCCTAGAGTTGGGTATGATTGTGCATGCCTTTAATCCCAGTACTCAGGAGGCAGCGACAGGCAAATTTCTGTGAGTTTGAGGCCAGCCTGGTCTACATAGGGAGTTCCAGGCTAGCTGGGGCTACAGGGAGACCGTATCTCAACCAACCAACTAACCAAACAAACAAACAAACAAAAATGAGTCCTAATTAAAGGCTGGGTGATTAGAAGTTAACATCAAGAACAGAAGGCAAATATCATGTTTTCTTCTCACTTTTACATTTTCCCATATCAATTACATAAAATGAGTCTCATTATCATCATGATTACTTAGATATATGTAACATGGCTCATCTCTGCATAGATGGTCATGTCCTCTAGGAATCTAAGGCAACTGGCCAACTGCAGCAGTCTTTTAAATTTATTTTACATTTATGTGTGTGTGTGTGTGTGTGTGTGTGTGTGTGTGTCCATGTTGTGAAGGTGAGAAGACAACATGCAGAGCTTGATTCTTTCCCCCATGTGAGTTCTGGGGATAGAATTCAGGTCATTAGGCCTGGCAGTAAGCTCCACTATCCAGTGAACCATCTTACCAGCCTAAGGAGCATTCTTTAAATTAAAAAAAAAAATTATAATGTGTTAGTTATACTTAATAATGGGCTTTATTATACTTTTTTTTTTTTGGTCTTTTTTGAGACAGGATCTCCCTGTAGCCCCAGCTGTCCTGGAACTCACTATGTAGACCAGGCTGGCCTCAAACTCACAAAGATCTGCCTGCCTCTGCCTCTCAAGTGCTGGGATTAAAGGCGTGCACCACCATCCCGGCCATTATGATACTTTTATACATTATATAATATATAATACAATATATAATACATTATACAATATATTTTGATCATATTCACCCCATGCCCCCCCCTTATCCCTCTCCCATTCCCACAATCCTCTTCTTCTTTCCAACCAGTCCCCCATCTACTTTGATGTAATTTTTTGTGACCCAGTGACTTTAATTAGGGTTACTTACAGGAGCATGGGTGAGGGGTTACTTACAGGAGCATGAGCAACTTGGAAGTGGTTGTACCACTGAGGAATTGTCTCTTCCACCCCCCAACCCGGAGCATCTTGCTGTTCTCTTTCCCAGTGTTTGCTTTCTCCGGCACCTATGCCCTGCTGTTTGTGGCCCGGACCCTTCAAGGCATTGGATCTTCATTTTCATCTGTTGCAGGTAATTCTCTCTCTCTCTCTCTCTCTCTCTCTCTCTCTCTCTCTCTCTCTCTCTCTTTCTGACATACACAAACACACACCCTCCTATTAACACTTCTTACTACCTCAGGCATAGTAATATTTATATGAAGAAATGAAGGGAAATGCCATTCAAGAAGGTAGACTCTGTGATTCAAGAAAAAAAGTGACTGTGACTCACTGGCAGGACGTGTAGATCCCTGAACTTGGATTCACTTCCCACGTTAAAAGCATGGAGCAGGCCGGCCTTTTATCTACTGCTGCTTCATGGCCCTTCTGCTGCCCTTCTCTTATTTCATAGGAACAGTTAGATCAGTAATAGCGCCATAGTTTGCCAAGAACAAATTTCACAGAACACTGTGAAATTGCTGTGCTGTGCCGCTTCACACAGCCCAATGGCCTGATGGCACAATTGCTAGGCATTGCCAGCCCATGCCCACCCCCAGGGAATCCTTGGGCATCATACTGTACAGAAGAGTCTGCTTGTGGTGCTTCATTCCCTGGCCTGGCCTGTAGCCCCCTTGTGTAGGGAGATGTGTTAGGAAGTGATAAAACCCTATGAAACATGGCATAATTAGACAGTAGTAATATGCACTGTCCTTCCTAGAAGGCTTTCCATTTTTTAACAATATGCACACCAAAAAATAAAGTCTATGGGAGGCGGAGGGGAGCATCAGTGGAGGGCAGTGTTTACGATATACTGTGAGCTAATATACTGTATGCTAAACCCCTTAAGTGAAGCATCTAGCTAAGACTATCACTCAAGATGGACCAAGGACTCTGAGACAGACAGACAGCAACCTCCCATATGCCAACTCCATCTGTCCTTCTCCATTCAGGCCTTGGGATGCTGGCCAGTGTCTATACTGATAACTACGAGAGAGGGAGAGCCATGGGGATTGCCTTGGGAGGCCTGGCTTTGGGACTTCTGGGTAAGTGACACCTAGACAGAGACTTGGGTTTAGAAGATGGGGTGTTGCAGACTCTCCAAACATGACCCCAGAAGAAAGGTGTTCCCAAGGTCATGGAAGAAAAGTGAGTATTTTCCTTCCCTCCCTGGTTTAGTTATGTCAGTCATGTTGAGTCCTTCAGGAAGATCATCAAGGAAAGGTGATATTCATTTCCTTCTCCTTAAGAAGCTGAGCAGTGTGAGAGGCCTGAGGAAGTCCTGAACCAGCCTGCTTGAGGGACTGAACATCCCCACATTAGTGACCACTGCCTCTCTCACTTGCACTTCCATGTAAAGCTGGTGCTTTCAGCAGGAGAGCAGGTCATTTGCCAGATTCTCTGATGATTTCACCAGATAAGGAATCTCCTTTAATCCTTACTGTCAGTTTGTGAAGGATGAATGATTGTCCCCAGAGTAGGAACAAGAACAAGACAGATTACAGAGCCATCCAAGGTTACATCGCCAGGTAATGCCAGAGCCACGATCAGGACTTAGACATTCTATACTCAGAATCCCAAGCTTTAAACAATGAATTTACAGGGCCTTTTGCTGAACACTGTCTATATGCCAAGCACAGCACTGGCACAGAGGGCATATAAGAGACTTAGACACAGTTCTGTTCTTAGAAGTTAAAGTCTCTTTTTTAGCCTATGCCCTACCGACTACCACAGTGGAGAAGAGAGGGAACAAAGCCCCATTGTTTGTCGTCTCCGTCTAGACATTCAATCTTAGACTTGGGTCATGTTGGGCTTCTTTACCAGTCACTCTCAAGTGACTGAGCACATTACATCTTCCAGAGTGCCTCCAAGGTCAGCTCTTCCCCCCTTGGTTGGAACATGGCACTAAGGGTCTTCCTGCTCTCTGATACATTCCCCTCTTCCTATATGGTCTTGCCAGAAGAATTTTCTAGAGCCCACACCTCGTGGTGTTTCTTCTCTGCTAGAAAGCACCAGTGTTTCCTGCTGACCACCAAGGCCCAGTAGACAGTCCACCTGTATATCTGGAGCCTAGTTAAAGTTGCCTCGGCCTTCTTTGCCTTCAGCTTCTCATAATCCACTGATGCCGGCTTTCTCCTCTCCTGAGCCCTTTCTTCCCTGTCTCTCAGTGCTGCTCCTACACGTGTTTCTTCATCACTAGGTGCAGTGGACTTGGCAAAGCCCTTGTGGTCACCTGGGCTTTCTGACTCACTCCATTGGTTTTATACAGGATTTGGGGTACATAGCCATTTAGTGGTTGAGCGTTTCTTTTGCCACATCAAATTTTTATTTATTTTTATTTATTTTTATTTTGTGTGTGTGAGTGTTTTGCTTGCATGTATGTGAGTGTACTACATGTATGCATACAATGTCCCCCAGAGGTCAGAAGAGGGCATTGGATCCCCTAGAACTGGAGTTATAGACTGTTGTGAGACACCATGTGGGTGCAGAGATTGGAACCCTGGTCGTCTGCAAGAGTAGCCAGTGCTCTTAACCACTGAGTCATCTCTCCAATCCCTGCCACATTTTAATTACTTACCCTCTTGTCTCCCTGACTTGCCCCCCCCCCATTACATTCATTCCTTAGTAAGGAATTCCTTGAGGACAGGGACCAAATCTTCTCTATCTCTGAAGCCCCAGGGGAGCTTAGCCCCTAGCAGGCCTTCAGTAATGCAGATTGGGTAAGGTGGAGGAGTCCCGCCCTAGCATCTGTGCTGTTTTTCCCTTTGCAGTGGGAGCTCCTTTTGGAAGCGTGATGTATGAGTTTGTGGGCAAATCCTCTCCGTTCCTCATCCTGGCTTTTCTGGCACTTCTGGATGGAGGTAGGTCAACACCTGTTACCAGGCAGGTAACAGGCCAGCCCAGGTTGGAAATACATTATGCTGAGGTGTTAGTTTTGACGTATTTAGATGGGTCAATGATTGCTCTGCCATAGAAAAGAATGAAGAAACTCAGGGAGCCGGGCTACATGGCTGTTAGTGGAACCTCAGGAAACCAATGATCAAATGAAACTGCCTCTGTGTCCCTCTTCTTCCTCAGCTCTCCAGCTTTGCATCCTACAGCCTTCCAAAGTGTCTCCTGAGGTAAGTGGATGTAAAGCTCCATCACTTCAGGATATAGAATGACTAAACACAGGGACCTGTACACACCTTTCAAGTCATGGGGAGAAAGAGGAAGTCAGGAAAAATGAGCCCTGTATTTGAATTCCCAAACAAGGTTCCATTTAGGATCGTATGGGGGATGGCAAAGGAGTCTGGGTTAGCATTAGGCAAAGATGGAAAAAGGGCCCTTAGAAAGACTCAAACACTAAGGGATGGAGAAGACTGTTGGAGGCCTCTAGAAAACCTTCCCTCAACAACAGACTTCCTCCAAGCTCCCTAGTAGACTATCATTCAGTCACGGTTAATAAATATCAGAGTTAGTATTTATCTGATTCCAAGCCAAAGATGACTCCAAGGAATCCAGATCAAGCTGAATGAGGAGTAAGGGCAGAGCACGGGAGGGAGGAACTGCTTGGGTTCAGGTGCTTCTCTTGTGATGGCGGCAGTGGCACCAGTTGAAGAGGGAGCAAGTGTGTCTGCAGTACCGTGCCAGGTCCCCACGGCTCCGAGGAGCTGCCTGAAATCAAAGGAAATGAGGCTGGAGCAACAGGCAAAGAGCAGAACTAGAGGTTGCTGGGATGATGAATATGTTATGAGCTGGAGAGGGTCCTAGCCATGAAGAGCGAGGGGGTGAGGTCCTCTGCAAAGTCTGATGAAAGAATAGATGTCAGATGATGATGGATACCCACAGCCCGAGGTTCAGTGGGAGGACTGCAAAGTTTTCCTTGAGGATAGGAAGAAAGTTGCAGAGAACAAAACTAATGTAGTCAAGAAAGATAATCAGAGACTGTCTTTATGTCGCCACCTGTTTAATGGATTCTGAACACAATCAACATAATGAGGAAAAAAAAGTTTCTCCAAGGAAGGAAAAAAAGTAACCATAAGGCACAAGGAAAAAAACTTCAGATGATCTGAAAAGGAAGCAAGGGAGCTGGAGAGATGGCTTGAAGTGAAGAGCACTGACTGTTCTTACAGAGGACCCAGGTTCAGTTACCTACACCCACAGTGCAGGGGACTCCAGTTCTAGGGGATCTGACACCCTCTTCTGGCCTCTGCGGGTATTGCACAGCATGGGTGTACTTACATGCAGGCAAAGCACTTAGACACATTAAAAGAAGGGAGGGAGGGAGGGAGGGAGGGAGGGGAAAACAGGGAAACTGAAAGAAGTTCAAACCAGAGCTGGAGGCGTGTCAGGTAGCAGGGGATGATCTTGAACTTCTGATCCTTCTGCTTCTACTTCCGGAGGACTACAGGCATGCACCACACTGCTTGGCTTAGAAAACAGAATTTTTAAACCAAGGCCAAAGAAGCATTAAAGGACTCCAAAAGCCACAAAAGGATGAAGTTAAAGAAGCTATGGAATTAAAGAAAGTTAAAAAGGTTGAAATAAGAAATTTAAAGATAAAATAAGAGAGAAGCTCAAAGACATCTGCAAAACAGGAAGAGAAAGATGTTGCAATTCAGCTGGTGTCTGAGCCAGGAGTGCTTCATGATCCCGGAGACTCACTATGGGGGAGGATGGTGATGAAGAGTTACATTCTGACAACAGAGACCAGAAGCCAACAACAAAAAGTGTAGCCTTGCTTGTTGTGCTTGCCTGCAATCCTAGCACTGGGTGGGCTGAGGCAGGAGGATGGCCATGAGTTTAAGGCCGACCTGTATGGGCGTGCGGGGATCTCGGGGCGCCAGCTGCTGGGCGTGGCGCGGGTCTCCCATACGTCGCTGGAGTGCGGCAGGTCCCGCGGGCCGCGTCTGCTGTTTGGGTCCCTGGATCTCAGCCGCTGGGGACCGCTGTCAGCTGCCCGGGTCGGGTTCCGTTTCAATTTCCACCGTGCACTCCCTCTAAGTTCGAGACCAGTTGGCCACCAGGTCACGAGGGGAGGTGCGAGAAATGGCGAAAGCAGGTCTTCGTGAGTCGATGACTAGACTGACTCTTCATCTAGATGGCTCCACTTCTATTTATTAAGTGTCCTCTGTGTCAGACCAGGCTTGGGACAGTGGGAAAGCAGAGTATGCATAACTAGTTTTTTTAGACCTAGAAGGCTCTAGAGATGATGCTCAGCTGGTAGAGTGCTTGCTTAGCATGCACAGAGCTGTATAAGATCATACACAACTCCTGGCCTCCATAAACTCCAATGTGCTCACTGTCATGAGAGCTTCTTGTTTGTAGACTGTCTCAGGAACAGATACCCAGGTGAGCTCACACCAAGACCTCCACTTCCAGCAGACTGCAGTCCACAGCATCTTCCTCTGTTTACCCCAGCCCTATTTTCATCCGCATTCCTTCATATTTGTCTCCCTAAAAATTGGTATTTACTTATCTGTAGAATCCTATAACATCTATATTCAGTATGCCCATACTACACACACACACACACACACACACACACACGCACACATGCATGAACCTACTAAGAAACAGTCAATGTTTTTGTAACTCCTTTCCCATTAGAGTTATGGCATGCAGCCCCTGTGCTCTGTTTTTAAATCACTTGCATCATTCTTTCTTTTAACCCTTAGCATGATTTTATCATGCACAATGTATTTAAAGCCCAGCCGTGCTCATTTGTTGATCTTGACATTTAACTTTAGTTTTTCTTCCCCCCATTCTTGCTTGTTGCATTAGTCTTCTGGGCTGCTAATGTAGACTGGTGGCTTAAACAGCAGGCATTCCCTCCCCCCACGGTCCTAGAGGTTGGGTATCCAAGGTCAGTGTCTTGTCAACATTGGTTTCTGTGGTATCTCTCTTCCCCGTATGCAGGTGGTCACCTTGTCCGAATGTCCTCTGTAGTCTTTTTGTTCTAGTTTTATTTCTGTTGCTATGGTAAACTATCCTGACAAAAAACTTAAGGAAGAAAAGGTTTATTTGGTTTATAATTCCAGGTTATAGTCCTTCATGGAGGGGAAATCAAGGCAAGAACTTGACTCAGATATTCACATAATCTGTACAGTCAAGAGCAGAGAGAAATAAATGCGCATGTGCCTAGTCTCAGCTGACTTTCTCTATGATTTTACGATTCAAACCAGGAAATGGTGCTGCCCGCTCTCAAGTTGGCTCCTCCTACATCAGCTAAAGTAATCAAGACAGCCTCCACAGACGTGCCCATAAGCTCGCCTGACCTAGACATTCCCTCATTGATGCTCTCTTCCCAGGTGATTCCAGGCTGTGGAAAGTTGATAATGAAAACTAAGCATCACACTTTCCTTAACGTGTGTGCCCAGAGACAAGTCTTGGTGTGCCCTCCTCTTCTCGTAGCAACACCAGTCCCATCAGATAGGGCTCCGCTCATACAACCTCATTCACCTTAACTCTTTTCCCAAAACCTCCTATTGAAATAGTAGATTGGGACTTTGCTGCATGAATTGAGGGAGACACAATCGCTTCATAATGTTAAGATAGTTGGGGGTGATATATAGAACACTGCCACCCAGAAGTCAACATCGTTCAGAAAGTAAGACTCAAAGGATGTTAACCCTTCCACAGCAGTGGAAGGGTTAACATCTTCCCTCCCCTTCACCTCTACCTCTTGTAACTAATCAAATTCTTTTTTATGTTTTTGTGGTTTTTCTCCCAAATGGTCTTTCTCTGCGTCTATCTCCCCCTTTTTCTCACACAAAACCTTCTCACTCTGTGTGTTTCTTTGCATTCTTCTGTTTTTGTTTTTTGTTTTGTTTTTGTTTTACTAATGCTTCCTGAAAAACGCTCCCTCACTATTTCTGTAGCTGTCTGCCTTGTCATTGTGGGTGGAACATATTTCATTACATCTCCTGTCTGTGCATTTAGGTAGTTTTCAGTATTTTGCAATACTAAAAATAGTGCGCAGTTAATACCCTTATGAACACGCATTTTCATAATGTAGGCAATAATTCTCGCTCGCTCGCTCACTCGCTCTCAGTAGTACTATACTGGGGTTGAAATGCAGAGCCTTGCAGAGCCTGGGCAAGTATTCTATCACTGAACTATAGCCCCAGCTCCAGCAGGAATTTTTAAGAACGTAGAAATAGGAATTGTTGCTTATTGACTCTTTTGTGCTTAAGTTTATGATTTACATCAACTTCTTTACTTTGAATCACATATGGAGTGAGAGTATCATTTTGGTTTGGGGATCTCTATATGTCTTAATCCATTGTTGTATCTGCAAGAGGGCTTCCTATTTTGACTATTAATCTCATATGTGATAGAATATAATGCACACCCAAGATTAGGACATTCTGCTTAGGAAGTCTGAAAGATGAAGTGCCAACTACCGAGTCAGAGAATGGAATGGGAAAGGTGACATTGGAACTTGACCTCGAACAGGTGACATGAACTCTGGAGCTGAGGAATCGCAGTTCAGGTAAAGGTAACAATGACGGCAGAGGGACTGCTGGATGCACCAAAGGAAGGCAGGGTGTCCATGTGTAGGTGGCAGAAGGGTATGTCACCTTGGGGTTCTGTGCTTTGCCTACTATCGTTAAACACTAGGACAAATAATGCTGCTAGAGCGATCTGATGGAAAGGCTCTGGACACTTGCTGTCTAATCCTGGCCTTGCTGCCATTCACTATGCCCTGGCCGATGGGCATTTGGAGGTAGAAATTGTATCCAATATGTGGTACTCTGTTCTCTGATTGCCTTGATGCCTGTCTTACACACAGGATGGGCTCTGCCCCAGCTTACTCTGTGACACCAGGCAGGTCACATCCTTTCTCTGGACCTGGGATTCTTGGTCTCTACAGTAAAGGAGCCAATTATCTTGTTTCTAAGGTTCTGTCTCAGATCTTGTGGAAACAGGAGGATCGTAAACTCTGTAGAAATGGAAGGTTTTTGTTGTTCATGTTTTCAGAGTGCCAAGGGGACTCCACTCCTGACGCTTCTCAAAGACCCTTACATCTTGGTGGCTGCAGGTAAGCTGGCCATGGCCTTCCACTCTGTGGGAAGAGTCTGGCTTCAGGAAACCTCACTGGCTTACAGAACTGTCTCCCAGGTTCCATCTGTCTGGCCAACATGGGAGTGGCCATATTGGAGCCCACACTGCCCATCTGGATGATGCAGACCATGTGTGCTCCTGAATGGCAGCTAGGTAAGTGACCTGGGTCCCCACCACAGACTCAGGCAACAGGCAGGTGCTGTGGGCCTTTTGAACGTAATCAAGAGGCATCAAGTCCAGGTCATCAGCACCTCAGAGAGATAGAGTGCTTCCTTCATAGAATTACTTCCAATGCCCATGCTAATGAACCAAGCCCGATCGGGTGCGCAGAGAAACAGCTTGAGAAAGGATGGGGGCAGTGGAGAGGTCATCCGTCAAGCAATGTGCTAAAACCATTTAATATTTACAATCAAAGACCTGTTTTTGTTTCTGTGCAACTGACTGGCAATGTCAATTTGTGAAATGAACTAATACTGTCCACATTCAGGGTCTCCCCTCTCACATAAACTCTCTGGTGACACCTTCACAGACATGACCAGAGATGTGTCTATAGGTGATCCTAAATCTAGCCAAGTTGATAAGATTAATCATCACACTTTCTAATTAGATACTACTTTAAAAAAATGATGTCTTATTTATACAAAATTATAAGTTTAAGTTTTATTTTGCTTGAATGTTTAGACAAGCTAGTGAGGCAAACAAGCTAGCGGATGTCAGCTCCACATCACAGGCAACTGAGGAAATGCTGTGGTGTTGGGGATCAAACCTGGAGCCTCATATATATTAAACAAGCATGATACTATTGAGCTATAGCCACGGCCCTGCTCTCTTATTTGTTAGACAGATCTGAGATATGAACCCCAGGCCTTACTACCTGTGGAAGTTTTCCTATGACTTTGCAACACATCATTTTTTTTTAGGGGGGGGTCTTTTTGAGAAAGGGTCTCCCTGTAGCTCCAGCTGTCCTGGAACTCACTATGTAGACCTGGCTGGGCTTGAACTCACAGAGATCTGCCTGCCTCTGCCTCCCAAGAGTGCTGCGATCAAAGGCATGCGCCACCACGCCCGGCTGCAACACATCATTTCAAAGTAACCTAATTTCCTAGCTGAGTGTTGCTTTATTCAGGTCTAAAATGAGCATCAAAATACTATCTAGTTCAAAGAGCTATTGAAGGAATAAACGGCCCGAGGTGTGCAAATGCTCTGTACTGCATCTTATGCATGCTTGTTACCAATCACATTGTCCTGTCTTTGCTGCCCCACTTCCTTTTATTGTCTTATACCCTCTATTAGTGGTGTTCGGCCTCCACTCAGGCCAGGTGGAAAGCTCAAGGTTCAGGATAAAGGCCCCAGCATTCTGTGCTCCCTGGAGGCCTTGTGACTCTCTGAGCTTAGAGAGAATGTCTAGGCCTCTTTCAGGAAGCCTGAGGACAAGGGGACGGGAAAGGCTACGTGCAAACAGTTTAGTCACTCCTGGCAGGAGAGCCTGGAGGTGCCAGAGGGGACGCTGATAAGAACTGGAGATGGCTCAGTGCAAAGTAAAAAACACACAAAATCTAATTTTTTAGGAACCAATTCTAAGCAGGACTCCAGCTGCTCTCCTAGCTGCAAATTGAATTTCTTGGTCTGTAACTGCCTCTAACCATGACAATTAATTGAGTTAGGCAGTGCTTGGTGTAGATAGCCACTCTTCTGTGGAGGCTCTGGTCACTCTGGCTCCGGGTGCCTGTGAACAACTGCAATCTAGAGCAGCCCTCCCCTGGCAATCCAGTTAACATACTCAGTCACTAGTTACAAGTCACCACTTACCAGCGTCTTATACGGCTTTCCTCAGTGCTGTCGCATCTATAAACTCTAGGCATTCTAGTATAAGTCTGCGATGATTGCTTCACACTCACTGGAGAGCTTGTGATGCTGAGAGCTAGAGCTAGGCAGCAAGACGGTAAAAACAGGTCAAATTCCTCCCTCCCTCGTTCCTTCCCTCCTCCCTCACCTTTTTTTTTTTTTTTAAAATTCTTCTTTTGAGACAAGGTTTCATGTAGCCCAGGCTAGCCTTGGACTCAATACATAGATGAGGCTGGCCTTGAACTCCTGATCCTCTTGCTTCCATCTTCTAAGTGCTGGAATTATGGGTATGTGTTGTCTACGCACCTGGTGGAATAAGTGATTTTTTTAGTGAGTTTCCAGGAGAGTACCCATGCGTGACTATCATTGAGCACTCTTAGAAGACCCCTCCAGGGAACCTCTGCAGGAAGGACAAAGGTGACAACCACTTGGCCTGTTGTATCCTAGGTCCTGTCACCAAGAGCAGGAAAATAGCACTGGCTTTGGAAAGAGGCCCATCCAGGTTTGAATTTGGACCCAGCCATTTACCTGTTATCACCTTGAATAAGTTATTTCGCCTCTAAACTCTACTTTTTTCTTTTCTTATTTATATTTTATCTGTTTAGAAAAGATCTCACTACATAGTCCAGGCTGGCCTTGAACTTCCAATCCTCTTGCCTTAGCCTCCTCAAAGCTGGGATTACAGGTACTCTACTACTCTTCCTTTCTCCAACTGCAAGAATGAAGACATATTTCAGAGTTGTTTTGGTCCTTGCCCCAGTCCACTGGCATCTGCCTAGCATATAGACTAGGGGATAAACCCAGAAAATAAGAAGTCATACTGTTTTCTTTTTCTTTTTTTTTTTCTATTGCTCGGAAGATTAGGGAGAGATTGGGAATTAGGTGTTGGGCACTGGGTAATGAAAAGTGGGCAAAAGATCAGTCTCTACTTTTATTTAGTTGTATTTGGAAATAAAGAGTTTGGAAAGAGCTTAGCTTTTACCTTTGGATGAAATGGTAAAATAAGAAGTCATACTGTTTTCTTTTTCTTTTTTTTTTTTTTCATACTATTTTCTTAATTGTTTTTATTTAAGTCATCGTGACTGTCACGGCTGCACGCGATTCACCACCCTTGAAGACAGGCTGTGCGCAGCATGTGGGTGTTGATTAGTCTGGCACACAAAGTATTGCTGAAATACCAGCTATGGTCAGGTTGTTAAGAACAAGTGCATGGTTGAAGAAAACGTCATTTAGGAAATTTCACACCATTAACAGAGATGTCAGGAGACCACAGCAAGGCCAGAGAGCTTCCTCTTTCTACACATCAGCTAAACAGTTCAGTAGTTTCAACCTCTAATCTTTCAAAAACAATTAAATATAAACAAATAGGTACAGTTGGGGACAGATTGCCATTCTGTGCAGATAGAGTAGGCAAACACACCAAAGTGTGCTTCGCTTCTACTGCATAGAAGACAATATTAAAAGCAAATAAGCTGCTGGCAGGTCCCTGCTGAACTGTTGACTTTGGGCTTAGTATCATGGTCATGATGCTTTCTATTGGGATACGTTATTTCATCCAGTCCAAAGAGATGTAGGGAGGGGCTAGTGAGACCCAAAGAGTCTCACACTGCTGGTTCCAAGCAGGTCCTCATGCCAGAGCCAGTGGTGAGGTCACATGGTAGGTTGGGGTAATGGCGTGAGAGCCCTGACCTCTTACCCACAGGCCATGATGATGATAATCAAGGCAAGTACTCATAGGGCATCTGTGGCTCTGTGCCAAGCATTGTATGTAGTGCTTGATAAGCAGTACTTTCTTATTTTTTGATGTTCTGTTTATTATTATGGTTTGTTTTTCATAATAAATATTATGTTTTAATTATATCCACCCTCCTTCCCACTCCAGCTCCTCCTGTGTCCCCTATCTCCCTCTCAAATTCATGCCTTCTTCTTTAATTACCTCTCTCTCTCTCTCTCTCTCTCTCTCTCTCTCTCACACACACACACACACACACACACACACACACACACACACACACACACACACACACACACATTGGGTCCAGTTAGCACTGCCCATATGTACATGGGTATAGTATAGGGTTGACCATTTGGGCATGAACACCCCATCAAGGGGTTTGTACCTGAAGAACTGTTCTCCCTCCCTCGGAAGCCCAAGCTGTCCACTGCCAGTAGCTCTCTTCAGGCAGGGATGAGGCCTTGTTAGTCCTCCCTCATCCATGCTGCAATGTTGACTGCTGTGAGTTTGTGCTGTGAGCCATGTTGTCGAGAGTTCACGGGTGCAACATCCCTGTTGTGTCCAGTAGGTGCTACTTAGCAGCAGCCCTCTTGGTCCTCTGGTTCTTACAATCTTTCCACCCCATGTTCTGAGATGGGCCCCGACTCTTGGGTCTGGAGGTTGTTATAGGCGTCGATTTAGGGATGGGCACTTCAGAGTCACTTCTTCTCTGAACTTTGACCAATTGTGGTTCTCTGAGATAACCTCTGTCTGATGTAGAAAGAAGCGTCTTTGATAAGGGGTGAAAGCTTGTTTAGTGTTTTCTTGATGTTTCACAACAAATATGTCTGGAAGGAATTTTTATTACTCCTATGTTAGTAGATTTTGTTATACCAACTCTACCTTAAAAATCCCTCCAGGGCTGGAGAGATGGCTCAGTGGTTAAGAGCACTGACTACTCTTGCAGAGGACCCAGGTTTGATTCCCAGCACCCACATGGCACTAACAACTGTCTATAACTCTAGTTTCAGGGGATTCAACACCCTCTTCTGACCTCCATGGGCACTGCACAACACTGGTGCACTTACATTTATGCAGGCAATATACTCAGACACATAAAATAAAAATAAAATAATAAAAAAATTTAGAGACCTGAAAGTTTAGTGCCTTGCCACAATGGGAGGAAGATCATCCCACACCTACCACTCCTCCAAGGTTCAGGGACTTTTGTGGAAGAGGTTGGCAGAAAGAATGTAAGAGCTGGAGTAGGGGTGGAGTGTTACCTGGAAGTGTCCTCCAACCACTGTGCCAACAAGCTAAAGTCACACCTCCTTCCTATGCTTATCAAGGAGTCAAGGAGGAGTCATTTACCCCTCCAGCCAATCAGTTGACCTTAGCTGCATGTGGGGGGTGGGGCAAAGGAAATATAAGCCAAGAACACCAAGAGGAACCTCTCTTACCATTTTGTGCGGCTGTTGGTCACAGGATCTGTGCTCTGTGCTTGAGTGTGGACTTTATGGCATAGCCATAAATGTGGGGAACCCACTCTTCTGTAAATAAACCCCTACCCTATGCTCTCTTAAAAAAATAATAAATCACTATACACACAAAAAAAATGTTTTTGAAAACCTCCATTTTTTTTCTCCTTATTATTATGGTTTCCAAACTGAGAGTCTATTACTTTTGTCCTGGGCTTGCAACAGTCTCTGATTTCCATCCACTTCTGGCCTATGAGCCCATTCTGACTATAGGAAATACAAATCAGGCTGTGCCATCCTTCCAGAAGCTTCTCATGTCGACTCTGCTCACATGATCCAGCTGCCCAGGCATCTTTCCAGTTCCAGCTGACTAAGTGGTTTTTTCCTTAGGCCTTTGAATTTTTATTAGGTGCTATACATATGTTCTCTCTTTCTCTCCCTCCCTCCCTCCTCCTTTTATTCAGTCACCAAAGCCTCAGCTTAACCGCTACTTCTTGAGAAAAAGACTTTCCTTGGCTTCTCAAATCCAGAGGAATCTTTTCCCCAAGCACGATGACATATCGCTCTATGAAATTTCCCTCACAGAACTTTCCATTTTTTCAAAATTATGTTCTTCAGTTAATTTTTATTGTCTTTCTGTCTGGCCTTACTGTGAGCTGCCTAAGAGTGGCATAGGTGGGCCTTGAACTTACAGTCCTCTTGATTCAGCCCCATAGGAAATGGGTCTGGGGTCTCAAGAAAATGACCACACAATCCAAAATGTTTCAGTAAGGTAAAAAGTTTTACCCCCACAGAAGGGTGTGTAGCTGAGCTTAAGCAGCACGTGGAGCAGTGGTCCTGTTGGGTTTTTATTCCCAACACCAAGGATGCCTCACTCTGCATGATCAGAACTTGGTCTCACTTTCTTATGTGATTGGCTTACTTAAAACAACACAGTTAACAAGCGGAATGTAAACTTTGAGCACAGAATGTAACCTTGAGCACATATTTTGATTTCAGGAAAATGCTGACTTTGGAGGTTTTTTTTTTTTTTTTTTGTGAAATGGTCGTTTTACAGTTTCCTATTAAAATGCTGCTTCCTTCATCTTATTTAACTCTTTGATAGAAAATACAGTGAATTCCTTTTATACTTCCTGCAGCCTCTCTAGTACTGGTTTTATAAATATAACCACATTTGCTCCATGTCTTATTTACTGCTTAATTCCTACCTCCAAGAATACCTGGAACATGGTAAAAACTCACGAGAACTAATGAATGAATGAATGGATTCAGAGCTCAAACCCCACGTCTTAGAACATCTCACTCTGTTGTCATATGAAGGCACGAGGCCAGGGCTGTGATGAATAAAATGCTTTTACGAACATCATCTAGTTTGCTTCCCACTGTAACCTGGTAGGATATAGTTATAGCCTGGCTTTTCCCAGATATGGGAGCTAAGGTTCAGAAAGGTTTAGCAACATATCTAAGATTGCTGGGAGAGTGAAAAAGCATTAGTAGCAGATCAGGAATTTCATTTCACAGGAAGTTTTCCCTGAAGGTCATGTTCTTGTGTGGCTAAGCAAGCAAATGTCTGTCAGAAAGTTTTAGTGGGAACTGGGAGCACGTTAAATGTACTGAGGCTAAAGAAAGCCCTGCTCCTGAGGAGCTGTGGGGCCTGGTAACCGCTGCTCTTGGACTGCACAAAGTCTCCAAATCATACTGCAAAGTGTTTTGGGGACCTGAATACATCAGGGGGCTTCACTGACTCGTAGGAGACAAAGTGCTTCAGGTTAAGTTGAGCATGTCCTAAGGTGAGCTTCTCTGTTCTTCTGCAGGCCTGGCTTTCTTGCCTGCCAGTGTGGCCTACCTCATTGGCACCAACCTTTTTGGTGTGTTGGCCAACAAGATGGGTCGGTATGTAGCCTGGGAATCTGGAGGAATGATTGGAATATTAAATGGGAGTGTCCTTTAACTTGTCCCTGTGCTTGGGACAGTTTCTCTGGGACTGAAAGTTTAGGACATAGTAATTAAAAGCTACCCACTAGGAGTCTGGTGGGGTAGCTGGGTGGGTGGCGAGGGTAGTAGGGGAATGGACAGTACTGAGCTGACTGCTATGGCAGACACAGGGGATACAAGGGGAAAGCTCCTCCTTTCCAGATGAAGATGTACGATAACCCCAGCAGCCAACACCCATGGAAAAAGTAGAATGTACTTTTGGGTAGTGGTTGCCAAACCCTGTTCCTTGGAACACAACGGAATTCTATCCAAGGGCACCAGAAGCCACCAAGGGAATTGGGTTGGGAGCCAAGAAGTGTGAATCCAGATTCTATTTCTCTACTACAAAGAAAATAGCTGCAGTTTTAATTTTATCATTGTAGCTTAGCACAGAGGTTTAAAAGTAGCTTTGAAAGCACTGTCATAGGAAATTAGAGAAGAAATTTGATATTTTCATGTGTGATTTAAAAAAAGTACATGTATGAATGTTTAGCTTGCATGTATGTAGTATACTATGTATGTACAGTACCTGTGGAGGCCAGAAGAAGGTGTCAGATCTCCTGGATATGGAGTTACAGGTGGTTGTTAGTGGTCATATGGATGCTTGGGAACCAAACCTGGGTCCTCTGCAAGAGCAGCCAGTGCTCTTAACTGTTGAGCCATCTCTCCAGACCCTCGTGTATGCTTTGAGATAGATCTCTAAGACTAAATAGGTTATGAATAGATAAAAAGTAGACTGAGTTAGTTCATCAGATGACTCAGCTGATAAAGGCACTTGCCTCTCAAGCCTGGAAACCTGAGTTCAAGTCCCAGAACCCACGGAAAAGTAGAAGGAGAGACCTGATTCTTTAAAGTTGTCCTTTGACCTCCATATGCATGCTATGGCATAATCCCCCACCATGCACACACACATTAATAGTAATAGTAGTAGTAATAATAATAATAATAATAATAATAATAAATACAGGTTTTTAAAAAGGAAGTAATGTGAATTAGCAAATATGAAGAATCAAGTTCAAGAGCTGCTCTCAGGGTTGAATGCCTTTAGAACCAGCAGATTCCACTTCTAAGGGAAGCAAGAGTGTTCCAAAGTACCACCTTGATTCAACTACGGAAAGAGGTATAAAGTCAGAGAGGAGACGACAACAAGAGGAAGACAGGAACACAACTGGTCTCAAACTGGTCCTGCAGAAACGCACTTCTTAAGTCCTAAGGGGTCAGTGGAAATAGGGCATGTAGGACTGGCCAAGGTGGCAAGCGGAAGCCATCTTTGCCCTGACGGTGTGTAATGATGACTCTTTTCTTTCAGGTGGCTGTGCTCCCTGGTTGGCATGGTAGTGGTAGGTGCCAGCTTGCTCTGTGTAAGTATAAGAATCCAGTTGAGAAAAGAATACCAGGCATTTAAAAACCATTTTCCTTCTAAATGAGCAGTGGGTTGACTTGGCAAAGATTGCCAAAAAAACATTTCTAAGCGGGCAGAATTGGTACTGGGGGAGATGCCAGGAAATGAAGTGGCATGCCATGGAGAGGAGGTGGGGAAGGAGGGAAAAGGGCAGTGGGTGGGAGGAGCCAGAGGTCTGAGGCAGTACACATGGATGGATGAAGTGAGACATGTTAGTATCTATTTCTGGAGCCAGCCAGCCAGCCAAACAGTGAGTTTCACAAATTCTTTAGCTTCTCTGACAATTCCCCATGAGCCAACAGGGCAAGCATCACCTTTGCCTTTGTCTTTAGAACCAGAAAATCAGGTAGAAGAAGAAACAAAGCAGAGATTTCCATTTTTAGGAACCCCTAAGGCCTGCACTGTCTCCTGCCCTTGGTTGAAACCATCAGCCCACTGGTCTTCAGGCTCAAGCGAGATGAGGAATTAGCAAGCTGTGAGCACTGTGCTTGGGATGGGCTGGAGCTCCTCATGAGGACCATGAGCTCAGGGCTCCAACCCAGCTCCACCACTTGCCATTCATCTGGCTCAGGACCATCACCTGAGGATTCTGCTCACATCTCATAGGGTAGTCGAGGTAATCCACATAGACTGCAGCACAGCGTGGGCAAGTGGAGAGTCCTCAGTCTTAGCCCTGCCATTGCTAAATATGAATACCTCTTGTAGTATCAGCCCTATAAATATGATGAGCTGCTAAATGCTAAACAGCATGCTAAACCTTGGAGGGGCCAGGTGCTGGGATAGTGGGGTCGGGTAACAGATGCTCAGAGTCAGAGGTAAGGACACTGAATAAAAGGGAAGGACAGGCTTTCTGGAGGGGTGAATGCATGCCAGAGCTTGCTGTTGCTGTAGTGCCCGAACAATGCCACCTGTCCTTCTAGCTGTTCAGCTGTTGACTGTTGGGCTCTAAGTTGGGGCATAAAATAAAACCTTTGAAACAAAATTTGACAATGCGGACTTGTAATCCTGACTCCTCCAGGAAGGTAGGACAGGAGGATCAGAATGAGTTCAGGTCTAGCCTGGGCATTTTAGTGAGGTCTTGTCCCAGAAGAAATACATGAAAGGAAGGATTGCAGGGGAGCATTTGTCTAGTACACAACATGGCCTGGGTCCATTCCACAGTACTTCAAAATAAATGCTAAGTAAATAAAAACCTTTGAATGATGTCAATAATGCAAAGTAGGTGGTCTCATGCAATGACGAGTATAGCAGTGTGTTTGATGGAGGACAGTGGGAGGATGAGGAAGAGCAGCCCACGAACAGGAAAAGTGTGGCGAAATGGAGTTGAACCTGAGGTTCAAACTTCATCTTGGTACCTACTTTGTAACTTTGAATGGGGCATTGAATATACAAGGTACCAGCCCAGTTTCATGTGTTCAAAATGGAGATGAAGATTCTTCTTCCTACAGTGTCAGAATTCGGAGGTCATGTATGTGACACGTGGCACACACGTCACAGAAGCATTTCATTTGATAGCTCTGTGCCCTGCCCTTTCTATCCCGGTGGAGACCTGAGGAACTTCTCTTCCTTTTCCTTTAGGTGCCTCTGGCTCACAGTATTTTTGGTCTAATTGGCCCCAACGCAGGCCTTGGCTTTGCCATAGGTAAGTGCGTTCAAGGCAACTAGAAACCTTGAACACTTGCTTTGAGTCAGATGACTTTCCTCCCCATTTTCTCATCCAAAGAGGCAGGTAAAAAGGCAGGAGTGGGAGAGAAGCTGGCAGGGGTGGGCAGAGATGAGCTCATAGCTCCTGTCTGGACCTGTGTTAGTGCTGAGCATGTGGACGGCAGGCCAAGGGACTGGACTGAATGGAGGCAGAGCAGAAGGGGTGCTGCAACCATGGGTAAGCTCACTGACAGTGCCCTGCTTGCTCTGACCACAGGCATGGTGGATTCCTCTCTGATGCCCATCATGGGACACCTGGTGGACTTGCGCCATACCTCTGTGTATGGGAGTGTCTACGCCATCGCTGATGTGGCTTTTTGCATGGGCTTTGCTATTGGTATGTTGGTTGGGGCAGATGGTAGCACCCAGAGTCCAAGTACCCAGGCTCTCCATTGTGGATCACCTGGTGGTGGAGCCAGCAGGCTTGTTATCTTAGGAGTCTGAAGATATTTTTAAAATTATTTTATTATTTTTATTTTACATGTATGAGTGTATTGCCTGCACAGGTGTAAGTGCACCCGTGTTGTGCAATGCCCATGGAGGTCAGAAGAGGCCGTTCGATCCCCTGCAACTGGAGTTACAGATGGTTGTTAGCTGCCATGTGGATGCTGGGAACCAAACCCAGTCCTCTGCAAGAACAACCAGTGTTCTTAACTTCTGAGCCATTTTTCCAGCCCCATTCTGAAGACATTTGAATCTGCTACAGCCTCTGGGGTTGCCCACTATCCCCAGCACAGTGTTTTACAGGTGACAGGCTCAGTAAACCCTTGGAATTTGAATTTGATTTATTTTTTCACAGGCCCATCCACTGGGGGTGCTGTTGTGAGGGTCATTGGCTTCCCTTGGCTCATGGTCATCATTGGGGTCATCAACATCCTCTATGCTCCTCTCTGCTACTTCCTTCGGAATCCCCCAGCTAAGGAGGAGAAGCTTGTAAGGCACCCTGAGTGATAAAATAAAGTACATGTCTGTTTCTTCCTGTTCTCCCTCTTGCCCTTCGCCTGTGCTCATTTCCTTTTTGACCATTTTCTGCTTTGCTGTATTTCGTTTCTCTGAACATGTTTATTTTTCCCTTATATCCTTCTTTTTACCTCCTTTCCTTGAACAACCAGGTCCTTTCTTATCTGAGTGTTGAGCGAATAAAGTAAAGAAGGAAAATGGGGAGCCAGGCAGGGTGACACCTGTTTTGTAGACCCAGCACTTGGGAGGTAGAGACAGGAGGATCAGGAGTTCAAGATCAGCCTGGGCTATATAAGAACCTGTCTCCAAAAAATAAAATTAAACTAAACTAAGGGAAAACGGGATGCTCACTAAAAGGTGGTGAAGGGGTGTCAAAGGCAGCTCCTGTAGTCACCAACCAGCAAGATGAGTTACCAAGTTATCTCTTCCATAAATGGGTTTAATTCAGTGGAAGAATTTCATTTATTTGTTCACACTCATTCATTTGAGTCTGCCGGTATCCTTAATAAACCATGTCTTTTTTTATTTTTATTTTTTGATTGTGTGTGTGTGTGTGTGTGTGTGTGTGTGTGTGTGTGTGTGATGCAGAGGCCAGAGGAGGACGCTGGGTGTCTTCCTCCCTTGCTCTTTACCTTATGGCCTTGAGACAGGGTCTCTCAGTGTCCTGGAAACTTGCTCTTTTGGCTAATCTGACTGGTCAGTGAGCTCCCAGGGTCCACCTGTTCCACCCTCCAATACTGGGGTTAGCAGCATGGACAGCCATGCCCAGCTTTTTACCTAGGTACTAGAGATTCAAACTCAGGTTTTCATGCTTGTATAGCAAGCATTTTTATATGCTGACCCATCGCTGCAGCTCAGGTCATATCTTTTTAAGAAAAGTAAACAAATCCCTAGGGAAATGGTTTGTGGCGTATGATAGAGTGAATATGGTGCCTCCCTCTCACAGCACAGGCAGCCCTTGGGTCCTCATAGATTTGGGGTGGATGGAGGAGCTGCTCAACGGAACAAATATGGACCAGAAGCCTGGTAGAGAGATGTGCCCATTTCATCAGCCTGTGCCTGCTATGCCTTGTACCCACTGGTGTTGGGGTTCAATTAAAAGCTATCAGACATTTGTCCTGACTAGGGTTGATAGGCCTATGTACCTTGGGAGGCAGAAAAAGGGTGCTGTACTTTCTTTTTGAGTTTTTCTAATCAACCCTGGGCTTGGATATAGCAGTGGGAACAAGAGTGGAGATCATCAAAGATATGCAGTAATTTCTCCTCTTGTTTCTTGCCGCAGGCTATTCTGAGCCAGGACTGTCCGATGGAGACCTGGATGTACGCAGACCAGAAGCCCACAAAGGAGCTTCCCCTGGGGGAGAACAGTGATGAGGAACCTGACAGTGAGGAGTAGCTGACGAGGAGCCCAGCACAGCTGAATCCACGATACTTCAGGGATTACCTGTCCCCGGGAACCAGATCACCATAGGCTGCTCAATGGGTTTCACTTTTCTGTCCTCTGGTACCGCCCTTCCTCTTTTCCCATGGGCACCCTGCCCCAGACGTCTCTCGACTGTGCAACTCAGAACTCTCCCTCTATGCTTTCATGCCATAGGTGGCCCACTTTTTTTGTGGGAGGACAGTGACGCTTCCTTCAGACTGCAGCAGAGCTGATTAAAGTTGAGTTGTGACAAGTTCTGCCAGGACTGACTCATTTCCTGCAGGTGGTTGTGATCAACATGCCTGTGAAACCAGAGGGACAAATGTGAGCCTTGTTTGATCTGGTCTCTGATTTTCTTTGACATTCCCAACAGGTCATGAGAGTCCTGTTCTCTGTGCTGTGGCATATTCCTCCCTGCGTTTTCCACGCTGAGCTGAGCAGGTGTCTTCAACAGATAATTCTTTTTGCTTACTTTTTTATAAACCTTTTTGTGTGTGTACATGGTAACATGGCTTCACCCTCATTAAATGAGTTTTTCCTCTTTCTTCATCATCCTATGGAAAGGAATTGAGCAGCTGTCTTAGGCTTGACTTACCTGTTTCTGTGATTTCCCATACATGTTTCTATCTTCCCTGAACTTCTTACAAATAAAAGTGGTTAAAGGACAGAGAAAACTTTGTATCAGACATCAGAGTTCATGGCTTGAAGTGAAAAGAAACTCTTGAAGCCTCTCCTAATGCGTATTTCCTAATAAGAGGAGTATAATAACTTATTCATTGTTCACATGTGCTGGTGAGTAAGTTATTACCTAATTCAGATGTGATAAACCAGATGCAGTTTTATGGCAGAAGAGAGAATATAAGGGTAAATACAGTGGGTGCTATAGATCGCATGACATTCTGCTACATTTAAAAAATAGTTATTGATTGAGAAAGCCTTAAAGAGATGGGAGACATGGCACTCACCCTAAAAAGTTTCCCATCTATTTGGGCGAACAGGATAAAAACAATAATTTGAGTTAGTATATGCTATGTGTCCATGTACAGGGAGGTAGGGAGTCTCAGGTATAGGTGGGGGTAATGGTGGAGATGGAAGTGGAGATGGGGAGATCCACAGGGAGAGTCTGTGGGGGCACCTTGGTATCAGACAGGGGAGTTTGGACTTTACCTGGAATGTCACCTGGCTCTGATTTCTGCATTCTTCTGTAGGTGCTGGATAGGTTCAGGACAAACCCTGACTCGCCAGAACACATTTGGACTGAATCTCTCATGAATCTCTATCACTTGATTAATGAATAGCTGATTAGTGAATGTGTTTTTAGGAGTTTGGCATTAGCTCAACTACCCCTAATTTGTAAAGCCACATAAACTTATATCATTTGGTGCAAATGGTGTCTCAGATTTTGAGGAAGCCCAGAGGTTAAAAAAAAGAAATGATTTGCCTGAATTCTAAGCTATAACTTCCAATGGAGGTTGAAAGAGTGGCCACTTGAGGTGCAGAGCTAGAGGGGAACAGGGGAGGGCACATCCATGTGGGTGGGATTTGTAGTAAGGGCTGGCATGTTGTAGAAACTAGCATAGGTCTCAAAACAAAGGAAGAATTTGTTTAACAGGAGTCATCCATAACTTGTGTTGACATTGTCTGAGTCACATACAAAGGTGTGGGATGAGAGAAAATCATTGGATATAATTTCTGAAGACTTTTAAATGCTCTTGACAAACGTCAACCCCAGACACCATCAAAAAAGTCAAGACATCATTTTAAAAACTATAGAGAAGAGGTAGCTTAAGCACCTTAAATGTGGACTCTGTATAGAAGCATATAAAATGGAAACATCCCACCAGAGTTGGAAATAAACCTCTATCAGTGGTCCTATAAATGACATGAAGAGAATGTCATGCATGGTAAGTTTCAAACATTCTCAGGTCATGACAGTTTTTAAAAAATAAAAATGCTGGGGCTGGAGAAATGGCTCAGTGCTTAAGAGCACTTGTTCTTGTGCAGGACCTGGGTTCAGTTCCTAGCACCTTCATGGCAGCTAACCACTGTTCCTAACTCAGTTCCAGGGAATCTGATGCCTTCTTCTGTCCTCCTTGGGCATTGCAGCCACATGGTGCACTTACATATATGCAGGCAAAATACTCATACACATAAAGTAAAAATAAAATATTTTTTTAAAAATACATAAGAAATGAAAATACCAATCCATTGAGAACAAGACTCAAGGGATTTTCTAAAGAAGTAGCAGCTCTTACAAACAGCAGATGACCTGCCCCAAGGGACTACTGAACATGTACTTTTCCCCTCAAGAAAGGTGGTGCAAAGAATTACCAGTGACCACCAGGCAAAGAAAAGCAAAAGAACTTAACATAACCAAACCAACCAAACAAACAAAAAGCCCCAGCAAAATGCGGGGCATTCTCAGAGTGGTGGAAAGAAACGAGGAGACTTCATTCCCAAGTGTAAAAGTGTGGTGCTTCCACATCTCCAGGAGGGGCTGCTCCAGCACATATTCAGACAGTGTTGGAGGAGTTGGAGAAATACAGAGGAGACATGTGGGATGATGGGTGGGTGTCAGGGAAATTGATGTGGAAGAAACAGGAAAATTCTTGTGGCGAGGGACCCAACTTCAAGCAGATTAACTTAACGTGGTTGACACCTTCCAGAAAGTCCTGGTCATGGTGGCTCTGAGCCTTAGGGTACTTTCATAGCAGTCTTGCTATACTAGTGAGTTAAGTCTAGGATGACCCTCCCACTGATTATCTTACTTATGGAATTTATTACTCTCAGATGAAGCTGAAAAGTGAATGTTATAAGATTGTACTCTTCCTGGAGGCAGCTCTGCTGTGCCTGTACGTAGGCTCTCTGAGGTTCATGTGAAGAAAGGATAATACAGTCTGTCCACAGACCATCTCAGATGCAGCAGGTGATCTTTGGGATCTTTAGCACTTGTTAATTTCACCTGTTCAGACAGCTTCATGGACCATGCACCAGGACTCACGTGGATTACATAACTTGAGTCTCCAGTTGTGCTGACAGGGACTTAAAAGGGGCATGGTCATAAATCATAGGGTGAAAGGAGTAAAGAAATTTGAATATGAAATATCCCCTACAGACTCATGGGTTAAATGCTTGGTTCCTAGCTGCTGGTGTTATTTTTGGTGGTTCTAGAAACTGCAAGGTGAGGCCTAGTTGGGGGAAGGACATGGGTCATTGGTGGGGGGAGGAGGTAGGACCTTTGAAGGGGATGTCTTGTCCTGACCCCTTCTTGTTCCTCTCTGTTTTCTATTCTGTAGGTGAGGAAGGTCCCCTACCACATGCTCCTGCCATCATAATGTTCTGCCCTAATACATGGAGTCAAGCAGCCATGGTCTAGAACCCTCTGAAACCATGAGCCAGAACAAATAGTTTTTTTTTTCCCTTGAGTTATCTCAGAATTGTATTCAGTTGGTAGGAAAGCTGACCAATACACAGATCTTTTCATCCTTGCAGTCAGAGTGACTGAGCTAGTTCTTTCACATGCCTGTGCTGAAGCATCAACTTCCATAAACCTGGCTTCCCGCAGCTCCATCTGCCTGTGGATTACTTTGGGCTAGCTTTCAAAGAGCTTAAGAGACAGGCCTTTAGCACAGCGGAGAACCAGCAAGCTCTCCCCCACCACCTTGGAAGCACAATCGTGACTTCAAGCTTGATTTTCTGTTTCCAGGAAAGTTCTGGAAATAAGGGTGTCCCTTTGCCCTACCCATGACCTTCCCTCTCCTCACCTGCTTCTTCCCCTTCTTTGGTTCCTCTAGCTTCTCTTTTTCTGTGTCCTCTCCTCTTCCCTGCCGCCCTTACCCTCTTTTGGCTCCTCTTGATCTCCTTCCTCCTTTTGTCCTTGTTCTAGAGAATGAAAAGCACAGGATCAGCAGAGGCAGGAGAGTGATCAAGGTGTTTGGATTTGTCCTCCAAGCTGAGCCATTATACCATTTCTTAAAGTCACAAGGGAGAGGGATGCATGCGCACTGCATCTACGGATTCAGTGTATGATGGTTTCCGTGGGAGTATAACAGCCAGAATTTCCCATCGCCACATGGTATTGAGCTATCCTAGCACCATACCACGGTGCATTCCTCACTTGTCTGTGGAGATGATGCTGCAAATAAACCTTCTGCCATGCCAGTGGTATGAAGGTTTAGCACATACACTTACTACAATGCATGACACTTAATGACGGTAATAAACATTAATGCTAATGGGCTTATGCATTTAACATGCTAACTTTTTTATAGTTATCTCAGACTTCCTTACACACACACACACACACACACACACACACACACACACACACGAGATAGTCTCCTGTAGCCTAGGTTAGCTTTGAATTTGCTATGTAGTAGTTGACTTTGAACTTCTGATCCTCCTGCCTTCACCTCTACAGTAAGTGCTGAGATCACAAGGTGTATGCCACCACACTCAGTTTATGTGGTACTGGGGATGGAACCCAGGGCTTAGTGCATGCTAGGCAGGCACTCTACTAAGGGAGCTACATCTGCAACCTTTATATATTTTTTAAGTATATATTTTTAGTGAATTTTTGTGCATTTCATATAACACATCTTAATCATATTTAGACCCTCTTCCCTATCTGAACCTGATAGTCACTCCCCCCCAAGATTTCATGCATTCTGCATATATGCTAAGGCCTATTGAACGACGTGTGTGTCCCTCAGTGTGAGTTCATCCACTGGAATCTGGTCAGCCTATCTATAGACACTCCAATTTTCACAGCCTCAGACACATTCCTCAAGATGATTCTGGAAGAATCCAGGCATTGTTATCGTAGGGAGAGGTGACAGCTCCATGCAAACTTTTACCTCTGAAGACCTTTCAGTGAGAGAAAAGGTGGAAGACAGTGATACAGATAACCCTTGAGCAGGCCTAGGCTAATGTGTGTATCTGCGTCTTACTTTTTAATTTTAAAGAGTTAAAAAAAAAAGTATGGGTC